GAAACTGATTACTGGGATCTGTTGCTGCTTGGAGACATCCGCTGCTGGACATTGGAACTACAATCTTCCACTCCGGGAAGCACAGCTCCACCAGCAGGTGATCCAGGTCCTGACACAGTGCCCCTTGCATCACCAGTGGTGATCAATTACCACAAAAAGAAAGCTCTATTTGTGTGAAAAAATCTTCATTTGGGCACATTGTTGCATGATCGTGCAAATGTCAGATAAAGTAGCACAGCACTGCATAGCAAAAAATGGCCTGGTCATGAAGGGAGGCAAATCTTCTGGAGGGCAAGTGGTTAAAGTAGCACCCTTAGGCCCCATACACACTAGGCCTTTAGCCATGGTGCATGGGGCTCTGAAGTTTGACCATGGACAGAAAGCAAAGGTGCTGTGTCAAGCCCTGGTTTTGGCAACTTGTCAAATTCTATGAGATGTTGACAGCAGCTGTGGCTGGATGTGGCTGGACAGTCCATTTGCCCCCTGGCACATACTGCCCTAAACATTAGTATAGCTAGGGGAACCAACCAGCCCTGTCCAGCCGCAGCAGCTGTCAACCTTTCACAGGGTTTTACAGGCTATTAGCAGTGGGCCTGCATGGTACACTTATGTCCTCCATACACAGCTAAATGCCAGAGCCACATGTACCAAGACTAAACAACCCGTGTACACGGGGCCTTATATTGTATACATTTCTTCTTTTAGCTGTTTGGAATTCAGGTTTACTTAAAGAATCTTTTTCAGATTCCAGTTGCACTGATATGCAGAACTTCTTTGTGTCCAGCCTAGCAGAAAGTTCATTCTACATTGTGGTGTCCATTCATATGTTAATAGCTAATTTAATAACATCAAATCTTATTTTGACCTACAAAGCTGTTTTTGAAAATAGCCATTTGTTGGATAAATCTGTTATGAATGTATAGCTCAGTTGGATAGGTCAGAGGTCGTATTTCATGAATTTGATAACACTTCCATTATACCGCTATGTGAAATAGGGAATATTAATATATTTTGGTGAAATAAAAAAATTACAGTTATTAAATCTGAAAAGTCGGAGAATTGTGTTCAAGTGAGCCAAGGCTTCTATTGTAATATTACAACATTTGGAGAACAACTATTGTAATATCCCCAGTAGGATGGAAGGGTGTTTTGCTGAGAAAGCAGAATGATCTCTTAAAATAAGTATTTTCAAATGTTCTGATATGTCTTTGCTGCTTTTGTGAAGAGTAAACTACAAAGCGGCCGATGTGAGTTCATAGAAATGGTGCTCACGTTTTGCTGATTGTGCAGCTTCTACTATATCTGTTGATGTTGAGTATTTTTTAATTGCTGTTATAGACAGAATCCATTGGTTGTCTTGCTGGAAAACCTTTGAAAATCTACAGTCGGTTGGGGGAGCAAGCATAAGATTTTGCAAAAGTGATTGCAAAGTGAAATGTGGTAACATCGAAGGAGAAAAAGATCTGACAAAGGGGACAAGGAGATGAGAGAACTTTTTAGGTTTAACTTTTTTTTTTTACATTTATGCAACAGTGACTACAGAGCTGCTTTAATTTATGCATATACCTAAAAAGTGCTCATCGAGTTTGGGTGGAAGACAGTGCCAAACTGGTACTGCTGGAGGCTGCCTAGCAGCAGGTGTCTATGTGGAGGATATAGAGGGAATCCCTTCCAATAGGTTGTATTCAAATTGTAGGTGGTAGGTGATAGTATACATTGGGGTCTAGGCAGGGGCGGACTGACAACTCATGGGGCCCCTGGGCAATAGGGGATCATGGGGCCCCTGTGTCCTTGCCCAAACTCAAAAAAACCTATGAAAAAGGTACCAGGGGCATCTCATGGGGCCCCCTACTGACCCCGGGCCCTCGGGCAGTGCCCGAGTTTCCAAATGGTCAGTCCGCCCCTGGGTCTAAGGCTGCTTCCTTTCTGATAAAGACAATGGTGCCGTTACCACAGGGAACATTTGGGTGATTGGAGTGGAGCACCTGGTGTCCAGAAAAACATCTCACTTGATGATTTTTATGATTGTTTTTATTGAACATACAAGTATACAAGTAGAGCTAACGCATTTCGAGGGAATTGCACCCCCCTTCTTTAGCGGCTAGTATGTAGAAAGATACATGATAAAAATTCATAAGCAATCTACAGAATTTGTACAATATGCAAAACAAAAATCTGTGTGGGTATATACAGTATAGTTTCTAGATAAAGTAGAGTCCTCAGTTGGTCTCTATAAACATATTTTCGGAGACGTGTAAAATAAAGCCATATAAAACCGTATACATGGTGAAATTAATAAAAGATAAAAAATGTATGCTAAAAAAATGATATATACAGTGGGGCAAAAAAGTATTTAGTCAGCCACCAATTGTGCATGTTCTCCCACTTAAAAAGATGAGAGAGACCTGTAATTGGCATCATAGGTAGACCTCAACTATGAAAGACAAAATGAGAAAAAAAATCCAGACAATCACATTGGCTGATTTGGAAAGAATTTATTTGCAAATTATGGTGGAAAATAAGTAAGTTTGGTCAATAACAAAAGTTCATCTCAATACTTTGTTATATATCCTTTGTTGGCAATGACAGAGGTCAAACATTTCCTGTAAGTCTTCACAAGGTTGGCACACACTGTTGCTGGTATGTTGGCCCATTCCTCCATGCAGATCTCCTCTAGAGCAGTGATGTTTTGGGCCTGTCGCTGGGCAACATGGACTTTCAACTCCCTCCAAAGGTTTTCTATGGGATTGAGATCTGGAGACTGGCTAGGCCATTCCAGGACCTTGAAATGCTTCTTACGAAGCCACTCCTTCATTGCCTGGGCAGTATGTTTGGGATCATTGTCATGTTGGAAGACCCAGCCACGTTTCATCTTCAATGTCCTTGCTGATGAAAGGAGGTTTGCACTCAAAATCTCACGATACATGGCCCCATTCATTCTGTCCTGTACATGGATCAGTCGTCCTGATCCCTTTGTGGAGAAACAGCCCCAAAGCATGATGTTGCCACCCCCATGCTTCACGGTAGGTATGGTGTTCTTTAGATGCAACTCAGCATTCTCTCTCCTCCAAACACGACGAGTTGTGTTTCTACCAAACAGTTCTATTTTGGTTTCATCTGACCATATGACATTCTCCCAATCCTCTTCTGGATCATCCAAATGCTCTCTAGCAAACTTCAGACGGGCCCGGACATGTACTGGCTTAAGCAGGGGGACACGTCTGGCACTGCAGGATCTGAGTCCCTGGCGGCGTAGTGTGTTACTGATGGTAGCCTTTGTTACTTTGGTCCCAGCTCTCTGCAGGTCATTCACTAGGTCCCCCCCGTGTGGTCCTGGGATTTTTGCTCACCGTTCTTGTGATCATTTTGACCCCACGGGGTGAGATCTTGCGTGGAGCCCCAGATCGAGGGAGATTATCAGTGGACTTGTATGTCTTCCATTTTCTAATTATTGCTCCCACAGTTGATTTGTTCACACCAAGCTGCTTGCTTATTGCAGATTCAGTCTTCCCAGCCTGGTGCAGGTCTACAATTTTGTTTCTGGTGTCCTTCGACAGCTCTTTAGTCTTCACCATAGTGGAGTTTGGAGTGTGACTGTTTGAGGTTGTGGACAGGTGTCTTTTATACTGATAACAAGTTCAAACAGGTGCCATTGATACAGGTAATGAGTGCAGGACAGAGGAGCCTCTTAAAGAAGAAGGTACAGGTCTGTGAGAGCCAGAAATCTTGCTTGTTTGTAGGTGACCAAATACTTATTTTCCACCATAATTTGCAAATAAATTCTTTCCAAATCAGCCAATGTGATTGTCTGGATTTTTTTTCTCATTTTGTCTCTCATAGTTGAGGTCTACCTATGATGCCAATTACAGGCCTCTCTCATCTTTTTAAGTGGGAGAACTTGCACAATTGGTAGCTGACTAAATACTTTTTTGCCCCACTGTACATGTAAAAAGTAAATAAGGCTTCAGTAATAAATAATAAAAGCGATGTACGTGTGTACTAGATAATAAGAACTGTATAAACCAATTATATATTTAAAAAGTAAATAGTAGAATAAATTTAAATAGTGCTTAATCTATTTATGAGCAGACATCACTGATATCTAGATAACTAGGTTAAATTTAGCAGCAGCATCATGGCGGTTAACTTAACAATTAGCAAAAAATTTGCCTACCTAATTAATTTTATACATATTTTAAGGATATATATTTTTTTAATCTGTTCTGTTCTTATTATAGGCTGACAAATTTACAAAAATATTAAAAATGAGTCTGTATTTTTTTTTTTTTTTTTTAGAGAGGGAGAGAGAGAGAAGGAGAGGGAGAGGAGAGGGAGAGGGAGAGAGAGACAATAGAAGAAAGTACCTCAACTGGGACCTTCATGGCAGGATCACTGAAATAACATTAACATGCTAAAGTGAAACTTCACCATCTCAATCAACATTGACTATTCTGAATCCTTATTTTGCTAGCATCAGTAAATAGATAGGAAAGTATATCATATTTACTTGTTTTTTTACATTTCTTTAGTTACTTCCTAGATTCCTTACCTAGGCAATGATGACATACATCCCAGGAGTCTGCAGGAGGGCAGGAAGGGTTTTCTTATCTAAGCATACTCTCCTGCCTGCATGCCTGAGCTAAGGGCAGATGTATTCCGGGAAGTAAATGCTACATGAATCATCTGCCCTTACTCAAAATGGCCACAGACATAAATGCTTGGGGGGATTTTTCTAAGTGATTTCTCAGCAAAACAAAGCATGCAGACATGGAGATGGAGTTTGGTTTAAAGTGTTGCTAAACCCAGGACCCTGCATTCACTATATCTGGTTTCCCACAGTACACAGAACCTGGAAGTGCAATTATATTAGTAAATATAAACTGCTAAATACCTTTTCTCATCAGAAGTTAGATCAGTCTTGTGACTTCTATCAGTGTCCAGCCCAGAACTAGCTAAAGCTTGTAGGAGGAGTTTTCTTTCTGCTCTAGGAGGATGCAGGACCCCTGGCCCTCTGTCTGGACAGTGCTGATTGGCCCTATGCTGATCACATACACTCCCCCAAGAAAAAAATAAAACAAAAAAAAAAAACCCCTCTAGCAATACACACCAAACTGAGCATGTGTATGTGGCTACAGGTTCAGTCTGTCTTATCAGGTGGAGGGGCAGAGAAAACATGATCAAATAGCCTTTTTAGTGCAGAGGATTAACCCCTTAGGTTCCACAGTGAGTAGAACAAGCATGCTTTACTGCATATACAGACTGATTTTACTGTAGTGGTTTAGTAACACTTTATTAAAAATGAATTACATAGAGCTTTTGGTTTGTGGTGCTCAGATACAGTGTAGTTCCAATTTAAATATTAGTGAATTGGGTTTACATCTGCCATAAAAAGCCAAGTGGTCTTAGATTGTAAGCTCCAAGGAGCAGAGCCCTCCTAACCCTCTTGTATTGAACTGTATTGTTGCTGTATTGTCTCCCTTTATATTGTAAAGTGCTGAGCAAACTGTTGGCTCTATATAAATCCTGTATAGTAATAATAATAATAATAATAATAATAATAATAATTGGACAAATCCTGAGATTATATAAATCTGATAATTTTTAACTTGATTGGGATTATTCAATTAAAAACATATTGCAAAGAGCTGCAACAAGAAGCTACTGACAACAACCAATCAGAAACAAGCTAAATGCAACCAAATTAATGAAGCAAATGGCAATTGATGCCATTAGACAAGGTTATTGCACGCTGCAGCCTCGTGCGCTATTTTATTAATTAAGCCATTGATGTCAGAAGCTTTCAAAAACGTTTTCATTTTTTGATAAATGAAGAACGTCGGAATAGCTGGGGGAGGGGATGAGAATAAAGATTATAAGCAGAGATGTATAGCTGTCCTATTCATTGAGAATTCAGCTTTCAATTAACAGTTCTTTTGCAAGTGTTTTATCTGCTCCTCGTTCAGTTTCCACTTCAATAAACTCCGGCCGATCTGACAGAGCATTAATTAGACTCAGAGTTTTTATTAGCTAAAAGAATGCATTTATTTTAGCACTTAAAAGACGCGGAGGACTGGTTGGTGGCGTGCCCAAGAAGCACTTTTTAATGTTCGGAGATAGGCTTTCTTAGAACACTTGCTGATCACTTTGTCTTCTCTCTTAATCATAGTGTATCAAGGATAAGAGAAGTTCTAATGAAGAATACTCTTCCCGGCCTTTCAAGATGAAGAGCTCCCCACTTTTTATTGTCTTGTCTTGGCACCGTACTCCATCACCTTCCCACTTCTATAATCCCCAACAAACGACCCCCTTTATACCGACATTACAGATGCCGTGTACTTATGTACTGTACCGTTCATCATTTATGATCAATTTGTCACCAAGGTCCACTTCTAAGCTGAGTAAATAATGTAAATAACTGTGCCTGGAAGACGCTTTATCTTCTCCATCTCACACTCTTGTTAAGAAGTATTTCCATAGAATAAATTTCAGCTCTAAATATTACATACAAGTCTGAATGCACAAAGGAACAATTGTGCTGTGTATAAAAGGAAACAATCTGAAAAGTAGATTTAAACTATAATGCCTCATGCACACAGGATGTTTTTACAGCCACTTTTAGGGGTGTCAGATGTTTTTGCTTTTTTTTACTGCTTCCAAATAGCCCTCCATGTTATTCTATGGGGTTGATTTACTAAAAGTAAATAGACTGTGCATTGCGAGTGCACTGAAAGTGCAGGTGATCTAGAACAGGGGTGTCAAACTGGCGGCCCACCAGCTATTGCAAAACTACAAGTCCCATCATGCCTTTGCCTTTGGGAGTCTTGCTTGTAACTGTCAATCTTGCAATGCCTCATGGGACTTGTAGTTTGGCAACAGCTGGAGGGCCACCAGTTTGAAACCTGTGCTCTAGATCAGCCTTTCTCAACACCTGGGGTGCCTTGAGGTTTCTTCAGGGGTGCCTTGGCAAAATGTCTAAAAATTGTCCAAAACTTGTATACAAGGCAGTGGGTAGAACAAGCCTGCCTTTTAGTTACACAGAGCCACAGGTTTTCATTGTGCACCATTACGACCTTCTAGCCGCCAGCATCCTAACAACCAATTACATCATCAGCTGATAAGGAGGATGTCAGCTGCCTGCACAGCATCTTAGTTTGACCCTCCCCTGTCCCTCTCCATCAATGCTGGGGTGATATTAGCTCAGTGAGGGAGAAAAACTGAGGGAGAAGAGAAACACTGGAATACTAGTCAGTAACAGTGTGCAAAAGTGTATTTGCTTTGGAAGAATAAATCCCCTCTAATGTTGGGTGTCCTACATGTGTGGATGTTGGTGCTTTATATACAACTATTAGAATGGGGTGCCCTTTTAAAAGTATGGACAGTCTAGAGGCACCCCATTTTAAAGTGCAGACTGTGACTGGCTCAACTGCAACATTCAGATGGTAGGGTCAAAATTTGGTGTAAACACGAAAGCATGGAAACATCCTGTTTTGTATCAGCGGTTCAGGCTGGCAGTGGTGTTGTAATGGTGTGGGGGGTGTTTTCTTGACACTAGCAAGGTGTACATAATAATGTGGCCAGTGAGTATATACTGGATTTTGTTTTTGTACTAGTATTGGCAGCGACTTATAGAGGGACTGCTAAAGTATAGCGGGCATTCTGACACTAATGGACACTGGGTGGGAACTGACTAACTACCACTGACATCTCCAGTAACACTAATACAGTGATCAGTGCTAATAAAAAGCACTGACACTGTACTAATGACACTGGCAGGAAGGGGTTAACATCTGTGACGATCAAAGGATTAAGTGTGTGTTAGGGAGTGATTTGACCATGTGCTTTGTGGTGTTTTACTAGGAGACATGCTGGTTTTTATTCCCTGCTTTGCAGAGAGATAAAAACCAACACATCCCCTCTGACAGTCCTGGCCATGAATCGCTGGCCGGGACCCGGTGATTGACATCTACAGGAGCCAGTGACAGCACGGGTAGGACGACACAAGCACGCTCCCTATCTGGAAATGTAGAATCATGTATATAAACGTGATTCTGCACAGAGCGGCCGCCCTGTAGCAGTGGGTGGTTTTAAACCCAAAAAACACAAATGTATTCTATTGCAGCTAACCAATTCAAAAGATGTGGTGACTGCATTCACTTTCTTAGTTTTTCAAGCTTTGAAATCCTCTGTAGAAATTTCGGCATCAAATTATATTTTAATTATTTCACACCAAATGTGTTTGCAGTGTAATTGTGTCTAACACTGTATTCCCTGAAACATTTGTGGGTGGGGCTTAACACACCCAATGGGAGAACCCACAAGTAGCGCTCACTAATGCCTGCACCTACAAATGGTGGCAGCGGTCATGTGAAATCATTATTAAGGCAGCACTCCAACTTAAAAGCTAGCATACTTTACTGAAGGAGTTAAACATAATAGATGAACAGTTCTCAGCAACATCTTCCATACACATCTCTGTGCATGTTCTTCTAAGTGCCCTTTAGTCTCAGTTTACATTAGTGCGACTTGTCATGCGACTTTGGACACACATAATGTCATATGGCAAGTTGCAACCTATTTATTAAAATGTCACCCTTTTCAATCCATGCGACTAAAGTTGCAAAGTCTTTACAAAAGGTCCCTGCACTACTTTGAGGTGACTTTCTTGCAACTTGAATGCCATTGAGTGTAATATGTTATATTTAAGTCGCATGAAAGTCACACTGCAAAGGTGGACTGGAAATTGCACAACTTTAGAGTTGCACTAGTGTGAACGGAGATTTATTTGTTTCTGTGGTTTCGTAATGACCATGGTGCTACCTTCTGCTCCATGAAATGGTCATATATTAAACAAAAGGAAAAGTCCATAAGTCCATTTAGTAGCATAAGTCCATGTTTCTTGAAACTCCAGCTGGGTTCCCATAAGGGATGGCAAGGCAGCAAGATTGGTGGAGATTACACCCTCAGTAGCACGCTCTTTCTTTTTCCCATGTGAAAACAAACAGAAGACCTTTTACCTAGCTACTTTCCTTTTTTATATGCTTTGTCCAGCAGAGGGCGGTACTTGCAGAAAAGCCCAGGAATGCCTGAATGGCAGGGTTAACCCCTACCTATCTAGCAGCACCACTTTTGGATGGTCCAATCACAGCTGATCACAGACTTACCATGCTGTGTCTGTGTGAGGAAAGAAAAGCCGATAACCGGAAAGACTGTCAGTACATGGTTTACACTTATACCCGGGGCACTGATCATCAGTGCACTAATTATCAGTGCAGCTGCATCAGTGCCAATCAGTGCAGCATATCAGTGCTCATCAGTTCAGCATATCAGTGCTGCCTATCAGTGCCACCTATTACTGCCCATCAGTGCCGCATCATCAGTGCAGCCTCATCATTGCCTCTTCATCAGTGCAGCTTATCAGTGCCCATCAGTGCCACCTCATCAGTGTTTCCTCATCAGTGCCCATCAGTGCCATCTATTAGTGCCACCTGTTAATGCCCATCAGTGCAGCCTCATCAGTGCCCATAAGTGCAGCCTTTCAGTTCCTATCAGTGCAGACTCATCAGCACACATCAGTGAAAAAGAAAAATTTCTTATTTGCAAAAATTGTTACTAGAAACTAAGAAAAATGTTTTTTTTTTAAATTTCTCATTTGCTTAGCAAAAAATTAAAACCCCAGCGGTGATTAAGTACCACCAAAAGAAAGCTCTATCTGTCTGAAAAAAAATTATAAAAATGTCATATGGGTACAATGTTGCATGAACACACAATTGTCATTCAAAGTGCACCAGCGCTGAAAGCTGAAAATTGGCCCATGTGTTGTGTACAGACTTCCTTCAGATTTGTGTTATGCTTACAGTCCTGTGAAAAGCGAACTACAGTTGATTTCTTTTCAGAGGGTGGTATAGCAGAGGCTGACAGGCATTCAGGTGGTGCTACTGCCGCCTTCTAAATGATTGTGTTTTTTTTTTTTTCATATTGTGAGACTGCACCGCAACTGCAAGCTGAGTGTTTGGTTCTCAAGGTGAGGACCCATTGAACCTAATGGGAGAGAGTTTGACAGGCAGTGCCGCTTGTCAAACTCTGTATCCTGAATTTAAAACGTTGCAGCCATGGCATTTGTACAGCCCCTGAGTGTGGTTCAGCCACCTGTTTTTATCACCCCCTGGCTGCCAGTCTGAAGGAGCCATAACATAGCCCATTCATTTTAGATGATGTGCTGCTAACGTGCCCCAGCATGGTCAAAACTGCATCTGACCATCAGCTCACGCATGATGCCATTCATCTTTCATA